ACTTCATTTACATCTCTGTATTTGGCTAAATACATTGTAAGAGCTAGATCAGGGGTCCTCAAACTACGGCCCGCGGGCCACATGCAGCCCGCCGAGGACATTGATCCGGCCCACCGGTTGTTTTTGCCAGCGGTGCCTGTCCTGCCTAGCAGCCGGCTCGCCCGAGCCGCAGTGCGCATGTGCGGAATGTGCGTCGCACTCTCCGACTCCCCTCCTTCTCTCTGTCTCTCGACTCCTCCTCTCAGTAATCTCAGGAACCGTGCACTCAAAGTGGCAAACATCTTTGGCAGCACTTATGTCTGTGAACAGACTTTTTCCAGAATGAAACATCTGAAATCTCCAACCAGATCTAGACTAACTGATGCACACTTGCATCACTTGTTACGACTAGCAGTGAGAAATATGGAACTGGACATTGACCATCTCATTAGCCAAAAGCAAGCCCATAGTTCCCATTGAAATACTGGTAAGCTTGTTGATTTAACTTTACTTGTTCTTCATTGTAAATATTGTATTTGTTCCCGTTTTGTTTTTTCACTTCAAAATAAGATTTGTGCAGTGTGCATAGGAATTTGTTCATAGTTTTTTTTTTTTAAACTATAGTCCACCCCTCCAACGGTCTGAGGGACAGTGAACTGGCCCCCTGTTTTAAAAGTTTGAGGACCCCTGAGCTAGATAAATGTCAATTGGCTTAGCAATGCAGCATACTGCATGCAGTCTAAGACATATCTTGCTTTTGGAAAATTTAATACTGTACTTAAAAATGTTTAGCAAAAGGTATATCTGATAAATGCAGATTCAAAATATACCATTTATCAGTAGCAATGAATTAAAAATTCAAACAAAACTAATTTTCCTACCTGTGTAAGCCCTCGTTGTCAAAGGATAATCGATTCCTAGTATTTGCTTAAAAAGCCATACTGCACCTTACCAAACTACTTACCAAGAAGATAATGTCTGTAAGGGGGACCCCAAAACATCTGTATTTATTAGTTTAAAAATGTGTATTTATGCTTACATGTTTAAACTTCAGTCACCTTCAAAGTATTCTGTTTAATGCAATACACCTATTGAGACACCTTTCCCACTGCTCAACAGTTTTTGAACTTATCAATTTTGATGTCTTTTAGTGCTTCTGTGGTTTTTGTTTCACCTCTTCCATATTGGCAAAACATTTACCTTTTTTTCATCTGGGAAAACAAAAAAAGTCGCTTGGGGCGAGACTGGGTGAATAGGGAGGGAGGGGCACAGGAATCAGGCCACTTTTGGTCAAAAACTGTTGAACACTAAGCGTGGGTGTGGGCAGGTATGCTTGTAAATCACTCGCCAAAAAATAGGCAAATATGTTGAAAGAATCTAAAAAAAAAAATTTCACTGAAGCCTCTCACAGTTTCACAGTAGTGCTAACTGGTACACTGATGCTGATGGGTTCCTAGAACACTTACCTAGTGTAGTGGAGGAAACCTGTACTACGGGGGCCCACCCTCCAAAAAGTAATTCTGATTTTTTTGCCCCCCCCCCCATATACTAGAAAACAGTAATAGCACCCATTCTTTTTTTTTTTTTTGAGTTGGAGTCCCACTCTGTTGCCCAGACTGGAGTGCAGTGGCTGCTCCCGGCCACCGCAGCCTCGACCCGCTGGGCTCTGGCGATCCTTCCACCTCAGCCTTCCGAATAGCTGGAACTATAGGCGCGTGCTACCATCCCGGCTAATTTTTTTTTTATTTTATTGTAGAGATGAGGTCTCGCCTGCCCAGGCGGGTCTCGAACCCGCGGTCTCAGGCAATCCACTCACCTCAGCCTCTCAAAGGCGCGGGATTACAGGCTGAGCCACCGAGCCTGGCAGCACCCATTCTTAAAAACATACGGCAACCCATTAGGCCTTAAGTGCTTTAGGCCAGGTGTGGTGGCTCACGCCTGTATAGACCCAGCACTTTAAGAGGCTGTGGTGGGAGGGCTGCTTGAGGTCAGGAGTTTGAGACCAGCCTGAGCAACACAGTGAGGCTCTTGCTCTACAATTAAAATTTTAAAAAAAGGACTTAAGTGCTTCATACAGGAATTGATTATTCATGGTTGGTGATCTCCCTCTGAGGTAGTTATAAGGACTAGTAAGGTAACCGGAATTTATAGAATTGGCTAACTATTGTGTTAAGCCAGTTCTGGGAGTGAGCCAAGAAAAGAAAGCCCAAAATGATTCCAAGAATACAAACGAGCCAAACAACAAGGACAACTGATTTAAGACTCCAGACGCAGTTCATTCTCAAGTTCTTAAGTAGGCCTGGCTCCAGCACACTCCACAGAATGACTGAAGTGCCAAGACCTCATGCCTGGCCCTCTGCCTGGCAACCCACCACAGGCTGCACAAGGCCTACTTGCTGTCCATCCCTGTGTGGTGGCACAAACCCTACTTTCCTTTTAGCTCTTGACACTGACTCTTCTTCAGAGGTTCTTAATTTGACCTACAGACCTTAATTTGTTCTAAAGTTGACCTTCATATGGTCTTAATTTGATGTTTTTAACAAAGCAAATTGACCCATTCCACCTACAGTTTCTCAAGTTGAATCTTTTGGCTCGAACAAAGCCAATGGGAGTCAAACGAAGACAATGTCAATGGGCAAGGAATTTTCTAATGTGGACATGTGGCCAAGTTCAGCCAGGAAAGGGTCAGGCTAAATGGAAAGATATCTTAAAGCAAGAACACCTCCCTTTAGCTATTTCCATGATTTATGAGAAATTAGTTAATTTCTGATGCAATCAGGGATAAGCAATTTTAAATGCCAATTTTACACTATACTTCTGAAAGTTACGTATTTCATTACAGAAAATGTCAAACAAGTTGATTTTGATGTAGAGTAAAAATTCACTACATCAAAACTTAAGCTTCCAGACAGGAAGAGGATTTATGAATACCCAAACAAGCCAGAATGAGAACAGTCTATCTTTCTGTAAAAAACTTCCCAATGCAGCCTCCCTAAGAAATGTTGCAATGTTTCAAGTTTCCCTTTATTCTGCTCAATGTCCCCCCTTGTGACACATAATATATTATAACTTTTGTTCAGGGGGTAGGATATGTCAATACAGAGTCAAATTCAAATATTTATTTGAAATGAAAAAGCATGGTCACGCAGTTCACTAAGTAACTGAACTGGAATTTTAATCTGTAGTGAACACTCTTGTCCCTTGTACCATACAATGTCTCACAGCTCTTAGACACTTTTGTTTGGCTCAGTTATGGTCATACTTCTCTTAACAGAGGGTATTAGTTGGATGTTTTTCTATTTTTTTTTTCTTTGAGTCAGAGTCTCACTCTGTCACCCAGGCTGGAGTGCAGTGGCATGCTGCTCACAGCCACAGCAGCCTGGACTTGCTGGGCCCAGGTGATCCTTCCGCCTCAAACTTCCAAGTAATTGGAACTATAGGCGTGCACCACTACGCCCAGTTAATTTTTTGATTTATTGTAGAGATGAGGTCTGAGGTCTCGCCAAGTTGCCCGGGCTGGTCTCGAACCTGTAGGCTGAGGCAATCCTCTCGTCTCAGTCTCCTAAAGTGCTGGGATTATTGACGTGAGCCACCATGCCCAGTCTTGGATGTTTTTCTAATGCAATGTGAAGTACTGAAAATCTCCCAGTTAGAGTATAAATGTCTCTAATAGAAATATTATAGTTCTATCATATTCAACATTAGTCTCCAATAATCCCTGTAAAGAGGTTTTTATTCTTCTCTTGAGCAGAATGCTATGTTGCTATACGAAATGCTACAGGCAATCTTATGGAAAGTTCCAAATAGCATTATAGTTGGCATTGTACAGACTCAACATCCAGATGACTATCCCAGTTTTTTTCTCATTCTCTGGTGAAATAATTTACAGTACCAGTTTCATTTCAGATGAGAAATCCAGAGCACAATTAGCAATCTTCTTAATGGCTATTTTAAGCTACGGATACCAGAGGCAACTTTGGTGATGTTCAGATCTTTAAGGATCACAAAGAAGGTATGTATTCAAGATAAAGGAACCATGGGGTTCAAAAAACTCTCACACTACTATAAAACATGCTTTGCATTGAAATGGATATTTAGTCTTTCTAGAAAGTTTACATTTATTTATTAATTTGAGTTGAAATCTCACTCTGTCACCCAGGCTGGAGTGCAGTGGCATGCTCATGGCCACCCCGGGATCAACCTGCTCAGGTGATCCTTCTGCCTCAGCCTTCCAAGTAGCTGGAACTATAGGTGCACACTACTAGCCTGGCTAGTTTTTTGATTTATTGTAGAGATGAGGTCTCCCCAAGTTGTCCAAGCTGTTCTCAAACAGCTCAGGCAATCCCCTCACCTTGGCCTCCCAAAGTGCTGGGATTGCGGCCTTGAGCCACTGCGCCTGGTCCATTTCTTTTTCTTTTTTTATTTTAAAGATGTGGGGTATAATTCAGGATTAGGTATACAAATGGTCACCATACAGGTAAAGTTTGGGCCTCCCTTTGGTCCCCACTTTCCCTGGTTTGAGATCAGGTACCCTTATTGATGTTGTGTTCCCCCCTCCCCAACCTGGCAGTATCTTGCCACTGCCAATCCCTTTCCTATAGTATTATGGTAAAATGTTCAGAGCCCACTTATGAGTGATACTGTGGTACTCAGTTATTTGTTTCTGTGATAGATCACTGAGTATGATGCACTCTAAATCCATCCAAGTGGCTGCGAAGTCCATATGAAAGTTTACATTTCTTGTCTGGAAAGTCTGAAACAAAAGTCCCAAATTCTCTTTAGGAGTGAAAGAAAAACAGTGTAAAATTAGTGCAATAAGCTGCAAGTAATCTCTGGGATGGTTCCCAAAAGTGGACAAAGAACTCAGGCCATCATCTCATGGGAGGCTACATAGCGATACTGTTCACAAACCACAGACAAACAACTCACCATGGTCAGAGGCCCTCTCAAGAACGCCTAGCCGTTAGTCATTTATTACCTCTGGTTGCTGGATTCCAGCGAAGGAAACTGGAATGTCATACCTTCATTCACAACACTGTCTCATGGAATTATTTTTTCCGGATTCCTTGGGAAGTTAAAGTATTTGAGAAGAATATCAGGAACTGTTGTTTCAGCCTGTTTTGTGAGCAGATAATTGCCTTCCAACTCCATTATTTCAGGAAATGATGTGTGTGGCATTGTTCCTAGCTGAGGGTAGCAATGTGTTTTAGCAAGACCCACACATGCATATGAAAATAAAACAAAACAAAAGCATGCAGTCTAAGCCACTTCGCTGAACTCAGACTTTTTGAATCTGGCCTGTAGATAAGAGGCTGGCCCCAGACAACCTACCCACATACCAACAACATTCTTTTGAAAGGGTGTAAGCAAAATTTGTTTTAAGAAATGAGAAATTTCACCAAAATTACTAAATGTGGTAATAAATAACTTTGGTAAATTGTTATCAAAATGGGTTCAGCAGAGACTTATTTGAAAGGCTAAACTTTTCCCTAATTTGGGTCTGAATCAAAGACCAGCATGGGAACTAGAAGTAAAACACATTTCACCCTGAGAAATACCTTTGATTCTATGGAATATATTAGCTGATCTTCCTGAAATGTGACATCATTTGTGGTGCCAGCTGTATGGGTGTGTCATCTAAGGATTTACAAAACGAGTATTTCTTTGACTTTTATATGTATTTTAAGACCATAGAAAGAAGTCTAATCCAACCAAGTGCTACAAGGAGAACTGCTATGGACTTCATGCTAAGAAGCTTAAACTTCTTATGATCATGATCTATTAACCTTTTAATAGATGGGTTAGAGTAAATTCCCCTAGTGGATAAATGATGATGACAATTATAATAATAATTTTTTAAAGCAAACATTAAATGTAGCAGTTATATGTAAAGCTGTGTTTTGAGTATATTAGTCATTTAATTCTCATAACAAAGCTATGAGGTTAAGTATTGGTCCTTTTGCCATCCCTATTTTACAGATGAGGGAACTGAGGTCACAGAGAGGTTAAGGAACTTGCCCATGGTCACCCAGCTCACTAAGTAGCTGAACTGGAATTTGAATTCATAGTGAACAGTCTTGTCCCCTCTTCACAGTTCTCAGACACTTTTGTCTGGCTCAGTTAGGATACAATGGTCATATCTTCTCTTAACAGAGGGTATTCGTTGGATGTTATTATAATGTAATGAGAAGTACTGAAAATCTCCCCGTTAGAGTCTCAATGTTTACAATAGAAGCAATATAGTTCTGTCATATTCAACATTCATTTCCAATAGTCACTGTAAAGAGGTTTTATTCTTCCCTTGAGCAGTAGTATGCTATACTGCTACATAAAATGACTTCAGTAAAGGGAAAAACTTTTCTTTCTTTCTTTTTTTATTTTTTGGAGTTGGAGTCTCACTCTGTTACCCAGGCTGGGGTGCAGTGGTACATTCATCGCCACCCTAGCGTCGACCTGCTGGGCTCTGGCAATCCTTCCGCCTCAGCCTTTCAAGTAGCCGGAACTACAGGTGTGTGCTACCATGGCCAGCTAATTTTTGATTTTCTGTAGAGATGAGGCCTTGCCAAGTTGCCCGGGTGGCCTCGAACCTACAGGCTCAGAAAATCTACTCACCTCGGCCTCCTAAAGTGCTGGGATTACACACTGAGCCACTGAGCTCCGCAGGGGAAAACTTTCCTGTGGAGTACCTATGCCTAGCATGTCATTCAACAGTTTGCTTTAAAAATGTATTACTGGCCACACACAGTGGCTCAAGTCTGTAATCCCAGCACTTGGGGAGGCCAAGATGAGAGGATTGTCTGAGCTTAGGTGTTCAAGACCAGCCTGAACAACTTGGTGAGACCTCGTCTCTACAGTTAATCAAAAAGTTACCGGGCATGGTGGTGTGTACTCCTAGTTCTAGCTACTTGGAAGACTGAGGCAGAAGGATCACCTGAGCCCAGCAGGTTGAGGTTGTGGTGGCCGTGAGTGTATCACTGCACTTTAGCCTGGGTGACATAGAGAGACTCCAACTCAAAAAAAAAAAAAAAAAAAAA